AGTGTTAACACTCAAGACTTGAGTGTCTTTTCCGTAAGGGTATTTACGATTGCAAACCGTATAAAAGCAGAATTTTATACGGAACATCACAAATTTAACATTATTTCACATCTAGTGACTACCTCGCGACACTTTCGCAAGATTCAAAATTTTATTTCTATTTCAATCTCCGGTAGTTTTAGTAAACACGAAGAGCCATTCATTGAATGTCTGATACTTTCTTATTAATTTCAACGTTTATTGCGTTGATGGTCTCTAAACCAACTATTTTTAACAACAGTATGCCATGTCCTATTAGTAAAATCAGAGATCACATTTCTGGAAAGTGTCGCAGAGTCATAAAGTAAAAACGGATACAATTTGTTTACAAAATACTGTCAAATATGCTTAGAAACACATTTTCCTTTCATTTACAATCATCTGTTCCATTCTTGTCTCTTTTATCTAGAAATGTTACTCACCTTCCTTTAAATTTTCCAAATAATCTCTTTTCTCTCCTCTCTCTTCTTGTTTATTCTGCAAGACGTCACCGTCTAGTTTTATAGCGACACGTAAGAAAGTCTCGGAAACGTATTTTTGAAACTTGTATTTTGAAATTGTAATTAAATTTCCACACAACTTCTTGCAAACCGCAATTGTCCAGCGCAATCACGTTGCCTCGAACGATCGCGGCGAGGTCTTATTACGGCAATCGAAATCTTTAGGATGGAGGACTTCGAATGTTTCTGCCTCGACGAGAGAATTCCGGAGCGGTATGTAGTGCTCGGCTCTATCTACTTGGGCGCGGAAAATACCTCTCTGTCGAAAGGACATCGTCGCGGTCGCGGACACAAAGTATAAGCGCATCACCCGGTAGAATCTCCGTTAAGTCTTCACATCCAAGACTTCAGGATGCTCCCGGTCGCGTTTACAGCTTGTGTAAATCTCGCCTTTACGGTCGCCGTAAACTTGCCTCGATCCTCGGAATACGTGGCCTGATACGGAATAGCCTGAGTCTTTAAGACCGCGGATCTTGGACACGGCATCGACGTTCGAGAGGTCAGTCGATTCGGGATCGTACGAGGAACATAGAATTTTGTAGGGGCATTTCGAGATTTAATAGGGCAATAGTGCAAATAGCCGTCACCAAATAAATTCCGTGATTTACGCGGAACGGAGCCGGGAATGAAGCCGAGCGGAGCGCGCGGAATGCTCGACTCTATTAGGCCGAAGAAGAATATCGAGACTCGGTTTATTTTATTCTTTTACTATTTCCGTCAATCGAAAAACAAAAAGCAAAGAGATAAAGTGACACAATTGCAGTAATAATTTCGACTAAATATTTGGATTAATAATTGCAATCTCCCTTCTCTCTGCGAGATCATAATCTTAGCAATGGTATGAACAAACGAAAGAAAAATTCACTCTAAAGTTAATTTCAAATGGTATTTTTGTGTAAAATCTGAGGAAGTCCTCGAGAAATCCATCGTGCGCAATTTTATTTTCAATGCGATTGATTAGCACTCGAGTACAAGTGAAATGAGTGAAATATAGTTCAATCTTGAAAAATGTATAAATTGGAGACTGTTATTTTGAAATTGCGACCGTGGAAAGAGTACGTACATACCATTTATCATCTGCCATGCATTGATTTTCCGTTTGCGTGTAAATTATATACAGTGCTTGGAAAATTGCAGAGTTATATAAAGACGATGTCTTCTTTAATGCACATAATAAATAACTGAACAATTGACGTTCTATTCTTAATAAACACTTCACAAATTATTGAGTTATAAACTGTATCATTTTAAAGAGTATCGTGTAACATACGCAATTATCTGAAAAACTCGAAAACATATTAAATTTATATTTATTATGTGTTTACGTTACATGTCGACGCTGTTCCCGTAAAGGGAGAAGGAAAAAAAGAAACATATTTATTATATAAATGTTTATCGACTCGCATAAAAGAAATATTAGTAAATTGTGTAATTTATATGTCTATATAAATTAATTTGACAACGATAATTATATTATATTAGCAGATATTACCGGACGCACAATATAATATTGTTACATAATATTGTTATGCCCGCGTTAAGACCGCCCTTGAAATCGAACCGAGTCGAGCTGTTTTCGCAAAAGTAGCGTCAGCATCTCTTCGCGACGAGCTTATCGACTAACGCCTCTGTAAATTGTCACACAGCTGTACGGACGTGTTCGTTACGACGCTGTATACTTTCAGAATAAACCTTGTTAGGTTTCTTTTAACCACATGTTCATTTCCCCGCGGACCGAA